TTAACTATAGTTCTTATTTGATAACTGTTTTGTTATATATTTTACTATGTTAAAGTTAAAACCCTAAAAGAGGAGATGATGGGAGATGTCATTCTGTAAATATGTTTCTCTTATTGGTTAATGAATAAAACACTGTTGGCAAATAGGAAAACAAGATAGGCGGGACTAGGAGACAAGGAGGATTCTGGGAGATGTAGTAGGAGATTTAAGATGTAGGGACTTGAGAGAGCAGAATTCCAGACCCTCTCTCCAATAAGACAAGACCACATGGAAACACTTAGATTGATAGAAATGGGTTAATATGTAAGACAGAGTTAGCCAATAAGAAAGGCTAGTAACCGGCCAACAGCTTTACATCTAATACAGCGTCTCTGTGTGTTTTTTGTGGCTGATGTGCCTCTGGGACCAGGCTGGCAGGAAAACTGCTCGTAACACAGGAGTGTCCTGTCTTTGCAAAGATCAGACTTCAGCTCCAGAAGTCAGCACGAGACTCACAGGAGGGCCTCCATCATCTGTTCCGTCTGCAGAAGCCGACCACCATTAGGCCAGGGCGATTCACAGAGGGAAAGGGCAGACACGGTTCCTAACTTTAGGAAATCCTAGGAATTGCCCCAGATTTCAGGTCTCAGCTTCTCCTTGCCCACACAAGAGGTATGCATTCCTCTGTTCATCCTTTGTTCTCACTCATGGACAAGTGAGTATTGTTCAGATTGTAACTCTTCAAAGAGAAGCATTAAAATTACACTTCTGGAATTACTAAACAATACCTGAGCTAAATTAATGAGCCATGCAGGGAAGCCATATTGTTTTATCTGAGCTAGTCTGAGGCAGGTAAGAGGTCACATTTGGTGGGCTAAGTTAGTGGTAAGGGACAAGTTCCTCGAGCGGCTGCTTCCGGGTAGTGAGGACTGGAGTTTTGGCTGGTTTGTTTTAATCTGTTCATATGTATACATGCCATGTATGCACATATTGCCACAATGGCCAGAAGTCAGCCTGTGTCTTTCCCAGTCGCTGGCTTTTGAGACAGGGCCTGTCATTGGCCTAGGGCTCAATGATTCATTTAGATGAGCTGGCCAGGAGGTCCCAGTGCTACACCTGTCCCAGCTCCGAGGACAATGCGCACCACCACACCTGGCTTGTCTGGGTGGGTTCTAGCAATCAAACTCACACCCTGGTGCCTGAGGGGCAAGCACTTTGCTGACGAAGCCTTCTCCCGGCCCAAGTGTGGTCTCCTTCAGGCGGGACAGATGCCAGAAGCTTCCGGTCCCTGAGCAGTTCTTACTTGTTTTCAGAAGTGTACAGCCGCTCACACACACCCGTGCTCACCTCTGGGCTTTGAACAGGACCATTTCTTACTGAGAAACCCCAGAAATTAACAGACAGACACCCCAGAAATAATAGACACCCCAGCAAGAATCTGGTCCTGAGCCCGGGGGAGCTCAGTGTACTGGCATCAGAAAGACTGTGGGCTTAAAGGGCCATCAGGCTCAAGAGGATGTAAACGTCTAGAAACCTGAACTGTTGGTAAGGGACAAGAAGAGGCCACTCCCCCCTGGAACTCAGAAGGGTTTGGAGTGTAGACAGGAAACGAGATGGTTCATCACGTTGTCTGATTTGAGTCTGATCAACTCAGAGGAAGCCAGAAGCCTGCAGCAAGCAACAAGCCGGAGCAGGCCAGCGTAAAGCTCTGCCAGGGGTGTGGGGACCACAGTCACAGGGCCCAGCTTTGGGTAGACACGGAGGGACAGACACTGAGTAGCTCTGCCCTTCACATTTGAGAAGTCGCCAGCCTGGGCTCTAAGAAACTAGGAGAGAGACTGTTTAAATGCAGAGGGCGAGGCAGGGCAGCGGAAACTCAGGACCTGCCTGAACTACAGAGTGAGTTCTAGGTGGGCCTGGGAGTGTTAGCTAGGCTGTCAGAATAGAAACTGTTTGAAGTGGGAAGGCGGGCTAGGAATGCAGCTCCGTGGAGGAGCGCTTGTCTGGAGCGCACAACCCTGAGTAGCGAAAAGGAGAAAACGGCAGTGGTGGTGCTCACCGTTAATCCCAGTGCCCCGGGGTGGAGTGGGGGTGGGGCAGAAGCAGGGGGAGCTCCATGAGTTCGAGGCCAGCCTGGTCTACAGAGTGAGTTCCAGGACAGCCAGGACTACACAGAGAAACCCTGTCTCAAAACAAAACACAGAAAAGTGAGAGAAAGAGAGGGGGAGGAGGGAAGAGGAGGAGGAAAAGGAAGAGGAAGGGGGCGGCAGATAGCACAGATCTGGGAACAGAGGCTTTAGAGACGGACCCCACGCCAGCCAGCAAGGAACAGGCCTGCACCTTGCCCCGCCCCCTTGAACCTAGAAAAGGGGGTTAGGGATAAGCGGTCCCCACCTGTACCCGTCATTTACCCTGGTGACTCCCGAAGCCACCAGCAACCGAAACCATGGTGAAACCATGTCCCTCTGCAACTTCCTCCCTTCTGGCCACGCCACGAAGCAAATTTATAGCGGACGCTCCCATAAACACACTTACCACAGGAGTTCGTCGCCGCCAGTTTGTGGCAGGGTCCTGGCAAACACTGCGCCCTGGAGGGCTGCCTGAGCTGCAGGGTCAGTGCCATGAGCACACGCAGACTCCAAAGGGGTTTCCGAGAAAGAACGATCCTCCATGCAAGCTTGGCCACAGCTCTGTGTCTTTCTCAGCACTTTTCTGAGTCTGCCTGTTAGGGCAGAGCCGAAGATCCTGCGCTGCCCAGGACGCACAGCGGGTTACGTAACTCCAGCAGCAGCCCGGGAACCCTATCGCCTCATCTTATAAAACCACCCCAAACAGAAAAAGGCGCACCCACAACATGACACCTCTCTAGGGTGGGGTGAACTGGGGGAGCAGGGAGAGAAGGCTTTGGATGGGCGGCTAGCTAGTTCTGCCTAAAATGTAGAGTAGAACAGACAGCCTCTGTTCTCAGGATTCCCTGGGAAGCGAGGGTGGAGGCATCATGCCAGGCAGTGTCCCAGGGTTGTGCTTGGCAAAGCCCCCGGAATCTGCAAAGTGCTCTCAGGCATAGTCAAGGCCTCCCAGAGAATGCGTTTGCGTTTTATGTCTTTGTTGCACTGACCGCCTGATAGGCTTTCATTTGGCAGGGAGGGCCGAATGCCCAGCTCTTCAATGCACCGTGGTGTCTGGATTGGTGCTGCTGTGTAAGGGGCCCGCTGCTGGGCATCACAGGCATGAACTGCGGCTCTCAATGGTCCTCTGGGGCTTGCTACAGGCATCCCAACAAAGGACCTCAGGTTTCCATGCCCCACGGGGGCTGGAAGCTCTCGAATCTCTCAGTGCAAGTTTCTTTGCCCTAAGGGAAACTGGTTGGACGGGATGAGGTTCCAAGGATTCCGCTGGCAGAGTGAGCGCTGGAATCCCAGCTCTGGTCCACCACGGCCTCCCGTGTCCCCTGTACCAACAGTGCAGCCAACTCCTTCCTGTCCCACTGTCTCCCCAGGCAGCTTACCTTCCTGCGTATTAAGAGCATGGACCCCACAGCACCTCCAGACGCCACTGACCCACTCAGGACTCAGTCGGGGCTCAGACATGGACACCATTCCCTCTCACTCAAGACTGAGACCCAGACGACAGCTCCCAACTCAGGGCTCAGAGCTGGACAACATCTCCGCACTACGTTCAAGGACTCAGAGAGGAGGCCCCACACGGAGGCCCCAGAGAGGACATATGACGGAGATGGACCAAAAGGCCAGGGGGGGTCCTATTTGAGGCCGTTAGAGGCAAGGTAAGGAACCTCCAAAACTTAATGGAGTGAAGCCTCTCTCTCTCTCTCTCTCTCTCTCTCTCTCTCTCTCTCTCTCTCTCTCTGTGTGTGTGTGTGTGTGTGTGTGTGTGTGTCTCCCTCTCTCTCTCTCTGTCTCCCTCTCTCTCACTGAGCTGCCCTGTAATGACAAGAACATGGCCTGCAGGTCGCACTGAGATTCTCCCAAGGAGTTCCCAGCATGCTCCTGGACTGAGAAGAAAGATGGATCATGTCACCTGGGCTGTTTCTGTGTCCTGCAAGTAGCAGACACCAGAAGGAATGGAGAGAGGCGTGCAGAGGCCTGGGACACACAGGCACACCTAGGAACGACTCAGGAGCCAGGCGACTCCTGACACACAGGAGGTCCCGTGCGTAACTCAACTGATAACCTGGAACAGGCAGGGAATCTACCGGGAGCCAATGTGTACACGCAAAGTGTCCCGGGACAATATTTGAAAACAGAGGAGGGTAAAAGCGAGACACAGTGAAACCCAGGGGAAACACTTGCTGCCACGTATGCATCGCCCCCCGCCATGCTCACCCCCAGTGCAGGCCCCAAGACGTGTGTCACGGTTCCCTGGGGATGGAGCTCCAGTATAAAGTTCCCACACTATGGACATCCTCAGTGGGCTCGCTGATAACCCTCCTGATCCCGGGACACTGGAAAACACCACATTAAGACCCGCGGCTGAAAATGTAAGCACGTAGCGTACCAAGGCACACACAGCGCGTGGAGCCCTCTCTGTATCCGGTAACGACACTGCATGCGCTTCCCTTACACCCATGCAAGTCTGGAGAAGCAGAGTCCAAGAGAGAAAAGCAAAGGATCGACCTACACTGAGCACCCATGATGGGCTGTGCTCGGGGCTTGGGGCCCATGCAACTGTCCTCAGCCTTTGTGACAGTTCCGCGACATGCCACCGAATGACTGGCAAGTCGGGCTCTGAATGGGAGGTCCCTGACCTCAGATCTTCTCTGCTGTGGTGACGGCACCCTCCCTGCCTGCGTTCATACTGACACCTTTGACGGGCTCTAGTCATCCGGGAGACAGACCTCTGATTTGTCTGCCTGGGGCTTTCTCAATGGGGTCAACTCAGGTTTGAAAACGCAGCCCTGAATGTGGGCAGTGCTTACTAATACACTCCATACCTGCACCCCTTGCCCAGGCTCGATGACCGAAGCCCCTCCCACTGCCCAGCAGGGAAAAGGCCAACATTACCAGTGATGGTGCAGGCATCCCGGTACCCTCTGTAGCTGGGAGCATCTTCCGCAGCCTCGCTCACATAGTACTCTTCAGGGATGCCCGGGCTGCAGGCTAGCACTGCATGGCTGCAAGCCTCAGAGATGGGCGTGGAGCTGGCCGAGGTGTCGTCGTGCAGGGCTGTGGCGTCCAGCTTGGCAGGTTTCAAGGGGAGGTGCCCACTGCCATGGGGGGGCCCCGCTGCGGTAGTGGGGGGCAGTCGGGCAGATGGCCCCCTTGTGGTTCAGTGTGCCGGTAGGGGTGGCTCACAATCTGCGGAACAATCCAGAGAGAAGGACACTTAAATGAGGTCTGCGAATACATCCAGACGAAATGTTTAAAGTCATAGCAGATGTGATTGGCACTGCAGAAATGGTTCACCAGCTAACCAGGCCCAGACCGGCGTGGGCCACTGGCTTCATACACTTAATTCAGCCGTGGGCAGTGCTGAGAAATAAACAGACCGACCTCAGCTAGTCGGGCAGCGGCCATCCTGGAAGGGAGATGCCGGGGCATGTACCAGGTCATGGTGGGAAGAGCACTGAGTGTACATTCTGAGGGAGATGCACGATGCTGGGAGATGCCATGTGATACGGTTATCTGTGCATTCGGCTATATAGGACATGATGATTCCTTAAACCCTTCTCAACACAACCGCACGGAGAACTTTGAGTCCAGAGGCCACCTTGAGCCACAGTGAGAAAAGAGGCGACTCCTTTGGGAACCTGGTAAGTCCAGAACTTATTTTTTAAGAAAGATGAATGCACATGATGCCCATTCACAGGCTTCTGGGGAGAGCCAGGAGCCGAGGGTTAAAAGGATGATCCCAGCCCATTCTCCAGGGGCCGCTGCAGCAACATCGGCCCGCTGGGCAATTCAGACGATCCCTGGAATATGCCTGGGATTAAAGGCACTGCAGGAAAAGGGTCAGTGCACAGCACGAGCTACCCAAGATTCCTCCCTGTTTCAAGAGCAGCCCTGCATCTTTCCGGACAGCGCTGGCCCCTGAGAAGTTAGCCTTCCATTCGGTAGGGGTCCTTCACCCACCCCAACCTCCACACACATCGCAGGGCTGCACACACGCTCAGACACATGGCAGTGTCTAATGGGAGTGTGAAGAACCTACACCTACTGTAGTGCCTGGGGCAATGGCTCAGAGGATCAAGTCCTTGCCAGTCAAGGCCTGAGTTCAAATCCCCAGAGGTCATGTAAAAGTCAGACATGTAAGTCTGGGATCCCAGCATTTTTAGTGGGGTGGAAGGAGGAAGAGCCTCACACGCCAGACAGCCCAGTGTACAGAGCAGAGAGCAACAAGCAAGGCGGGGGTGGAGACTGGCGCCCAGGCTGCCCTTTGACCTCTACCACTGTGCTGTGGTACACACACTTGCACACACACACATACACACACATACATACACACTCATACATATATACACACATACATACACATATAATACATATACATATACACACATACATACACATGCATACATACACATACATGCATACACACATGCATACACATGCATGCATACACGCGCATACACCCACACACATACATGCATACACACGCATGCATACACATGCATACATGCACACACAAATTCAAAAAGGGGTACACACCCTCCTGAAACTCCAGAGCCAGGGGCTCTGACACAGCTTCCATAGGCACCACATGCACATGGTACACATGAACTCACACAGACGCGCGTGCGCGCACGTCAACAGGATTTAAGCAGCTGAGAAATACAAAATTGGAAGAGAGATGCTTCCATACACAGCGAGAGAAGCCTGGAACCGGGGTGCTTCCGTAGGGTGACATGTGAACCACAACTTGACCATCCCTCCCGGTCAGGAGTGGAGAAGCAGCCTCATGAGAAAGCGCAAAGCATTCTGGGCACCAGGGCTTGAGGGCAGCATGGCAGAGGTCCCCCACTAGCTGCCAGCCATGCTCAGTGTGCCAGGATGGGGATCAACCCTCTCGGGAGCCCGTGCTCCCCATGGCTGTCCTGAGCGGGAGGTGGCTTCCCCTGTGCCCGCTGTGTCCTGACCCTGGGTCTTCACAGAAATGGGGGAAAGGCTGAGCTCCCAGACGCGGAACCGTGAGGAACTTGAACGCGGGGGGGGGGGGGGGGGGAGAAAGGAAAAAAAAGTGAAGGCAGAGACGAAAAGGAACAAAACACAAAAGAAAAAAAAGCACAATGAATTTCCTAATTTTCCTAAGATTCATTTATTCCATGTGCATGGATGTTTCCGCTGCATTTTTTATTCCATGTGCATGGATGTTTCTGCTGCATGTCTCCTTGTGCACCACATGTGTGCCTGGTACCTGAGGAGGCCAGAAGAAGACGTCGCATCGCCTGGACCGGCTGTGTGGGTGCTGGGGATCAACCCTGGGTCTTCTGGAAGAGCAGCCTGTGTTCTCAACCACCGAGTTTCACCATCACTCAATAACCCATGTGATCCCCCCATCCAGTTACTGGTCTGAACAGTCAATCGCAGTACCTGGGGTTGTCCCAGGGATCGTGGGGAAGGGTGTGAGCCTGCTGACACCGTATGTCAGCGTTTCTACTCAAACCAAGCCTTCTGCTAATGACTCAAGATCTCTAAGAACTCAGAGAGCAAAACAAAGCAAACAGCCAGGATGGTACAGCAGAAGAGGTCAGAGGTGAGGAAACAGCTGGGTGGCTTCTCAGGACCTGAGTTCCCTCCCCAGCACTGGCGCAAGACCCCGGTGGCGCCTACAATCCTAGGGATGGGAAGGCAGAGACAGGTAGATCTTTGGGGATCACTGGCCAGACCACCTCCCTTAGAACTGGCAAACCCCACGTTCAGCGAGAAACGTCTCTAAACATACAGTGGGAAGAAACTGGTTGGCACCTGACATCAACCTCTGGCCTCCTCACGTACACATGCGGAGCACGTTCACACTTGCACACACAACGCTTCTTCTGGCACCTTCTGTGGAGACCAGAAGAGGGAGGAGCTAAGCTTCCGGGCTGCGGAGTGAGACACAAGCTCAATCTCCCCAGGCGGCTGAGCCCAGCGTCCTCTGCTCATGCCTGAGCCTGTGGTGCGGATGATGACCGTGTGCGGCACACAGCAAGCTCATAAGCTCTCTGTGCCAGCACACAGCTATACACCTGTGCCACCACCAACCCTAGCGGAGCTCATGGCGAGCACAGGGAGAGCTGGCCATGGAGGAAGCTTTAACTGCCCACCATCACTACCCCCATGTGGCCAGCTCTTCTCAGCGGAATGTAGCTCCCAACCCCACTTGGAGGTAAGGAGAGAATTCCCAGACATTCAGTAACTTTCAAAGGCCATGGAGCCAGCAGAGGGGGTGAGTGTGAAGCTGGCTTGTGGCCCTCGGCTGATGCTGTGTGTCCTACCTTCCCCCGCACTCAGACAGGCTCAAGAGAAGCCCCTGACGGCTCCGGCCACAGCAAAGCCCGGCACACATAAACATACACACATACACACACCCAGAGACATACACACATATACACATACTAACACACACACACAAACACACATACACATATACACATACAAACACAACACACAGACACACAACACATGCATACAAATATACACACACATAACTACTGTAAAGATACCAGTCGTGGCTTTCTTGGGAAGCCCCCCCCCACATACATGTATATGTATGTATATGTATATATATAGTCGTATGTGTATCACATATATGTATGAAATCTTTTTCCTAAGCGTGCCTCTCTCGTCTCCATCCCTCCCTCCTTCTCTCTCCCCATCAGTTTCCCCTTGAAACACACGCTCTCCCTTATCTGTATTTAATAAACTTAAAAAAAAATAATCTCTGCTCACTCCCTCACTCACTCCTTCACTCTGATGCCTCCTAAAATTCCTTTCTGCTAAGAAGCCAGGGACCCGGCTTTACCTCAGCAGAGGTCGCTATGGGGAGGGGACTCCAGGCCGCCAGCAATGCTGGCCGCGTCTCCCTGCTGGCCTAAGGAACCCTGGGATTGCCTCCTTCTCCGCCCGCCCGTGGCCAAGCTTCCTCTCGCCACTGCATGGCCACTGCTCCTGGCACCTGTCTCGAGGTAGCAAGGCTAACTAACGCCTGGAACTGGAAGATGAGCTGCTGTTGGAACGTGTAGTGTTGTCTAACACTCATAACCCACCAAGTGGCACTCACATCTGCTTTCTACGGGAGAACCTGGCTCGGGGAGGTAACCCGGCAAGAAGTTGAGCCTCGCTCTGAATGGATCCAAATGTGTGCCTGCTCTGACTGAGCTGTACCTAAAGGAGAGTCAGGTACACCGTGTGGCCCCTAAAAGTGAACCACTCTGTTCCCTCTGCCCGTCTATACAATACACTCCTGCCACAGCCGGGTCACAGGACCTCCATGAAGACCCATGGGACCACACCTGTCAGCCAGAAGGTGGGGCTCCAGGAGCCACACAACGGGTGGACAGCTGGTGGGCAGCCACTCGGGCACTGGGGCCTCCCATAATTGCCCGTGTTATCATACTCTGTTACCGTCTATGGCCTTGCTGGCACTCCCATGAGTCCGGTCTGGCTCCTTAAATAGCTGGGCAAGAGGCTAGTGGAGCTGCCACCTCCGCAATGAATGGTGGCACAGGAGCCACGGATGAGTCACAGGAGCCACGGATGAGTCACAGGTTTGCAGGCAGGTGGGGTCAAGAGCCTGACCGACGAGAAGCCACCAGCTGGCAGAACACTCACACCACCTAGGACCCACGACAGAGCCACAGCCGAGCTACATGCAGGGTGCTAACCGTCCAGTTCATAAAATGGTTTTAAGTTAGCTCCCAGTAGAAGCAGCTTCATATGAGAGGGCGCGTGGAAAGGTTTGGCGAAGTCCTTGGAGTCACGGCAGGCGGAGGGCTAGGCGGCGCCTCTCTTCAGTAAAAGTGAACCTGTGCTATGCCACTATGCCATCTAGGTTAGCAACACCTTGGCAGGGCCACTCGTGTGACCAACCACAAATGACAAAGACGAGAGGGACCCATATCAGACTAAGCGGCTGGCAGAGGCCATGGTGCAGGCCTGTAATCCCAGCCCTGAGGAGCTGAGGCAGGAGGATGAGCTGGGGCCCAGCTTGTCTCACACAAAGCAAAATGCTATCTAAAGAAGGGAGCTGGTGATCATTGTGGTCACCAAGACACAGACACAGAGCTGACGCACAATCTCAGTGACGGCTCCTGGAGCTTCTTATGACGGCTGTGGGAGTCCCTAGGC